GGAGGTACCAATACACCTCTAATTACTTGAGTGCACACACTCCCATCAGCGGCAACGACACCGCCTCTGATTACAGGCAAGGAAAATGGGAGGAGGTTTGGATCTGGTTCAGGAAAGCTTCAGCTTTCTGAGAGATTCAGCTAGGCTCACGTCCTATCTCTTCATATCTAGATATGACAGGAGCATGTAATAAAGGCATATTCATCCTGCTTCTTATCAACAGGACTTGTCAAGTAATTAGGGTGGACTGCACAATGTGCAAACGTGACAGTAGAAACTAAAAATAGTAAACTAATTCAGACTGAGCTCTCACTTCAAGGGCATAAACGAGCACCGAAGTTATTGAGGGAAAATTACATTTGTTCCTTTTCATATCAGGGATTTCATGTCCATGGGATGTCAAGTGATGAGATGAATGTTGTCTTTCTGTCAGCTAACTGTGTTTTCAGTGGCAGTTGAGAAGATAGAGAGGTTTTTTACCTCCCAATGACTAAATTCAAGGTTTACTTACAGTGACAAAACTCCCAACGTAATTATATTGTAGCCATTAAAATCGGTCTGATTTATTTCATGGTAGGTGGCAAGCAGGAAGAGCATGACCCGTGCACTTCCTCATCCTGGGCCTCCAGACACTAGGAGCTCCAGCTGGCGTGGTGGCTGGCAAACCTTGGTGACCACACACCTTCCTTGGCCCTACACCAAGTGCTCTTAGCCTTGTCCTCGCTACTGGGGACAGTCGGTGTTGCATTAGAAAATGGTGAATCCAAACTGCAGCAAATAGCTTTTTTTCTTTTCAGGAAATCTGCCTTAATTCTTTCTAAGTCTCTGTGACGTTTGGTTTGGTTTGTGGTTTTTTGGTTTGGTCCCAAAGAAGTGCCCTTCAGGTGGACAGCGGGGCATATGACCTCGACTAGTCAGGGAGCTGAGTGGAGAAGCCTTGTGTACTCCACTTGCCTGGCATGGCAAGCTAAATCATGTTGTGCTCCTGGTGCTTCTCCAACCCTGTTCCTTCTGACACCTGGAAAAGCCAATATTAAAGTAAAATCACTTTCCCACCCTTCATAATATCCTTCCCTGGGTATGTCCATGTATAACTGCCCCTTCCTTTGAGAGAAGATGTGCTCAAGGCCCCTCTGGCAGATACCCTGCTGTACCTGAGGACCTGTATCATGGGTGAGAAGGTGCAGCATACATGTTGGGGGAGCACTAGACCAGTGTGGCCAGACCACTGGAGGATGAGGAGCATAGGTTTGGGATGGTGGAGCTATAGAGGAGGCATCTGGCTTGGTTGTATGAAGTTTTTAATGGCTCATCCCAGGTCTCAGCCCAATGATAAGACCTCTCAGCCTTTCACAGAATCACATGGGGTTGGAAGGGACCTCTGGAGAGCATCTAGTCCAACCCCCTGCCAAAGCAGGGCCACCCAGAGCAGGTTGCACAGGAATGTGTCCAGGCAGGTTTTGAATGTCTCCAGAGAAGGAGACTCCACCACCTCTCTGGGCAGCCTCTGCCAGGGCCCTGCCACCCTCAAAGTGAAGAAGTTCCTCCTCATGTTTAGGTTGAACTTGTAAAGAAGACTGGCCCCATCCTCCTGACACCCACCCTTGAAGTATTTATAGGTGTTGATCAGATCCTCCCTTGGTTTTCTCTTCTCCAGAATAACAAGACCCAAGTCCCTCAGCCTTTCTGCTCTGTGTTCCCTTTCTCAGCTGCCTGGACAGGAAGAAAATCAGAAAAGCTTCAAAAAAAGTGGTGTGGTGTGTTTCAGAGGTTAAGTGAGGCATTGCTTAAGTGCTAGGCATTTTCAAGATGCCTTGAGTTTTGAGGTAGCGTTGCATCTGAGACAGTTACGCTGGGGTAAACCAGGGAGCATATAGAATCATAGAACGGTTTGAGTTGGAAGGGACCTTAAAGACCATCGAGTTCCAACCCCTTGCCCTGGGCAGGGACACCTCCCACCAGAGCAGGTTGCTCCAAGCCCCATCCAGCCTGGCCTTGAACCCCTCCAGGGATGGGGCAGCCACAGCTTCTCTGGGCAACCTGTTCCAGTGTCTCACCACCCTCACAGCAAAGAATTTCTTTCTAGTATCTAAGCTAAATCTCCCCAGTTCTCCCCAGCTTTATCTCCCAATATAATTCATTTATGCAGCAGGACTAATTTTTAGTCCCCATGACTGCGTCACCGAGGGGTGAGCACTTGACAGAGTGATGTAGGCGGGTTCTTTAGGAGCAAATAAATATTTTTTTTATTGTGTTATTTTTATTGTGTTAATGTGTTATTATCTTCTTTATATAATGCCAAGGTTTGGCCACGCTGGGGATTTTTTTGCCTCTGCAGGATTCGTGACAATACTCTAGTGTAGCTGTCTGGAGACAATTTCACCAGCATAGACATGATCCCATAAGTGTCATTTCATTGCAACATTCTTCATTTTTGAACCAGCTGGTATTTGCAGGACCCCATCGCATCCACCCCAGGCTCTTCAAAGCGTAGGCTGTTAGAATAGAATAGAATAACTATTCTTACTGATTTCTTGGCAGATCTAGAACCCCAGAGAATTGTTTAACGACTGGAAAAAAGCACGTTTCGCAAATGTGTGCATATCTAGGTCGGTCGGCCCAGTTACTGGCCTGGACAAAATAATAAAAAGACCATAAGTAGTAAGTATTAAAAGATAATGTGTAATAAATGTCAGGCAGTGATGTAGTATGGAGAACACATCTTGACAAGGAAACGTCATCCTTTCTTGGTGGGATCACAACTTTGGCTGGGAAAGGTTGCTGAGTTCCTGTCATAGATTTCTCATCATCACATAGAATATTCTTAATTAAATGTGTCTCTCTCCAGAAATCAGTGATGACTTCAGTGAATATAATGAAACCTGCTCAGCTGAGAAGGCCAAAAGTGCAATTGCAACTAATTAGCTGTGATGCGATGGGGATGTTCCTACTGGAATTTACTTGCAGCCCTGCTCTGCTCAGTGCCTCCTGGACCAACAATCGGACCGGGACCTAACACCTTTTCCCCATATAAATAGTCTGTAAGAAACAAAACGATTGAGACAAAAAAGTCAAGTCTAACAAAGCCCTCTTTTTTTTTTTTTATTTATAATGGTGTCTAAATTCAACCTGTATATTTATGATCTAGGCCTCCTCTGCTCCTTGACCTACCAGCTGTGCTTGTTGCTTCATCCCTGTGGCTGGGCAGCAGTGCCCCCTTGCCCAGGTTTTGAACTCTCTGGGTGCAAAGAGCAGTTTGTTTTCTAAGTTAAGCTTGAATACACAATATTTAATATACTGAGCAATGAGTCACAGCTGAGTGGGACTTCCAGTTTCTGCCAGGAAGCAGTAACTGAACTTCTCTGCATAAATGCTCTTTTTCTTTTTCTCCTGAAAGCCAAACAGCAGAGTGGCAAGGAGCTGCGGCTTCCCGGGAGCGGAGCAGCACTTGGTTTGACTCCAAAGTCAGTGAGAGGTAGTAATGGTGGCACCACCTCCTTGCTGGACTTGGAGCCCAACTGCCCATGGCCACACTCTGTTCAGGGAAGCAGCGGTGAAAACTGCTGATGGTGAGTTCCTGCTGCTGCCCCAGGCACTGGCTTGAAGGTGTTCTTGCTTCCCAGTTCTGAAGACAGCCAGAAGGTAGCCTGGGTCCTGATTTGCACCACAGCAGCCCACCAATAAGCTTGCCGAACCAAAGACTAACATTAAACACTGGGAGGGGTAGCTGACACACCAGAAGGCTGTGCCACCACACAGCGAGACCTGGACAGGCTGGAGAGCTGGGCAGAGAGGAACCTGATGAAATTCAACAAGGGCAAGGGTGGGGTGCTGCACCTGGGGAGGAATAACCCCCTGCACCAGGACAGGGTGGGGGGGACCTGCTGGAGAGCAGCTCTGAGGAGAATGACCTGGGAGTCCTGGTGGGACACCAGGATGATGAGCCAGCGATGGACCCTTGTGGCCAAGAAGGCCAAGGGCATCCTGGGGGGCATCAGGAAGAGTGTGAGCAGCAGGTAGAGGGAGGTCATCCTGCCCCTCTGCTCTGCCCTGGGGAGGCCCCATCTGGAGCACTGGGTCCAGTTCTGGGCTCCCCAGTTTGAGAAGGACAGGGAACTGCTGGAGAGGGGACAGCAGAGGGTACAAAGATGATGAGGGGCCTGGAGCATCTCTCTTTGGGGGTAAAGCTGATGGACTTGGGTCTCTTTAGTCTGGAGAAGGCTGAAGGGGGGATCTGATCAATGCCTATAAATTCTTCACTTTGAGGGTGGCAGAGCCCTGGCAGAGGCTGCCCGGGGAGATGGTGGAGTCTCCATCTCTGGAGACATTCAAACCCACCTGGACACGTTCCTGTGCAACCTGCTCTGGGTGGACCTGCTTTGGCAGAGAGGTTGGACGAGATGCTCTCCAGAGATCCCTTCCAACCCTATAGCATTCTGTGATTAAAACCAAAACAGTGGAGCACAAAGGGTCATCTATCGATTATTATTTTTGTTTACATTTTTTTTCCAGATCACACTCAATGCTTATTGTTATGGTAATTCAGAGTTGGATTTTGCGCAGGGTTAGTAAGCTCTCGGGAGTCTTTCTCACGTGTATGCAATAAACTTTGTGGAACAAGACTTTCTACAGTAGTAATAAGAGGTTATAAATATAGAAGTTGTTTTTAGAGGTGAGAGCCCCATCCACATTCTTATGCGCTACTTTTATCTCCTGTTCAACAAGCAGTTCTTTCTTGGGATGAGGAACTGCTATGTTAAAATTACAGTAGTATTTTTCTATTATTTTGTTTTCTTAAGGAAAAGCCTCCAGGAAGGGATGACTTAGGCCACTCGTGGTTAAATTATTACCTGAGTAACAAAATTGTTTTGATTAATGGTCACCTAATTGGTTCTCGGTTGTAAAACTTAGAGTCTGTAAAAAAGACCATTGCTAAGCCATTTGTCTGTTTAAGAGTTATTAGAGACTACTTTCTCTCACCATTATTTTTCTTCCTGCAGATTTTTAAAAGCATCACCAATGAAGATTCAATCCAGGGACAAGGAAGTCGGAGACTGATAAGTTTTTCATTGTCAGGTGAGTCACTGCTGATGTGGAAGTTTTAAGCCTAGAAGGTGGGAAACAGAAGTTACTAAAACCTTTCATGTGTATGTATGTGTGTGTTTATATATTTTTGTGGTTTTTTTGCCTTTTGCTCTGGAAGTGATGCTGAGACCTAGAATTAATATCGATGGCTATTGCCACACTCTCTTCCTCCAACAAGAGTTATGTGCTGAAGTGTCTTGAACAAGTCAAGTTTTGGGGCCACGTTAGGTTTTCCTGCTTACAATTAAATGTAGGTCAGGGAAAGTGAGATCAAAGGTATGCAACTTTACTTATGGAGGAAGTGGGATTTGTGGAAGTTCTCTCTTCCTTGGAGAGCATGTTCCAGAGTCTTCCTCTAGACACACACCATGGTGCATGAGCTTGCCTGTATTGTTCAACAGTGACTTGCAGACTTCTTGAGCCAGGAGACTGCTCTCAGTCCTCTAAATTTTCTGCAGAATGTTCAGCCTCATTACTTGGCATGTCTCTCCAGGTTTTAAAGGCTTAATACAGTTCCTTGAAGCAGCTACAGACCATTTGGTCTGGCTTTGGTGACAATCTGTAAATCACTTCTGTAGAAGAATTCAGTTTTGACAGAGTAGTTGTGAGCAAGGTTCTTCTTTTGGAGTTTTATACTTGCTGTTTGGTTTCCGTGTTTTTTAGCCCCTGGAAGAAATAGAGAAAGATGCTGAACTTGACTTGGAAATTCTCTAAGGAAGTAGTACAGAGGAAAAAGAGTTACTCTAGTCAAAATTTTTACAAGCCTAGGCCTTCTGTATAAAGTCCTATGCTCAGGCATGCATCACATTACATGTTTGGTTTGGCTGCATGATTTATTTCAAGCTTCCCTCTAACTTGTGTGAAAGTCAACTAGGACTTCTATATGTCTTTAATATTAAGTGTGCAAGTCAGTGCTTTTCCAAATGAGGTGGCCATTGTGGCTCTTCAGAGGTTTTATATGCTGCATGGCAGGTTAGACTGACATTAGATGGGGCTTGTTTTTGCTGGGCAGGGCTCTGGGTCCCCACCTAGTCACGTTAATTTGATAAAACCACAGGTTTATCTTAACAGAAGTAAAGAAGTAGAATTAATATTTTTTAATGTTCTTAATCTCACACAGAAAATGTTGCCCAGAATTAGTAACATTTGTTCATTCTCTCAGATTCTTTGGCCTAATAAAGTCCTACTCCTGACCAAGAGATGTCAGGAGTAGTAATTTGTGAGACAGCTAAATAATGTTATAGCAGTAGGCACTTTTATAAACTAAACTGTTTAATTTGCAGCTTGATTCAAAGCATACAAAGACCATACCATGTGATACACTTGGGATATCTTATTACAGTGGTTCACAAGCATATATCATAAAATATAAATTTATATTTATATCACTTCTATATTAACAGCATCATCACAGCCAGGCTTTAAGCTCACAATTATTTTATCAAAAATCTTTGGTATCAAAACAGCTCAATTTAAGTCTGTCTGAAATTAACAGATTAACAAAGCACAGGGATTTATTTATTACCTTCTTTCTTAGTTAACAACAACAAAATGTAGTTTTCTCTCTCAAAGTAAAATTACTGCCACTCCTATGTCTATTATGCTAGATAAGAAAATGCAGCTCACGCCAGGCTTTCCAGAAGCATTGGAAGGAACTGAGATTCCTTTCCATTTGCACTACTATCACAGCAGTCACCTCACGCCAGGCTTTCCAGAAGCATTGGAAGGAATTGAGATTCCTTTCCATTTGCACTGCTATCACAGCAGTCACCTCTCTATTGTCACAAGTCCTTTCAGCTCATATGGGCTGCTTTTTTTCAATATCTATATTTTGGTATACTCTCACCTTCAGCATCTTTACTTCAAAGTTAAGTTTCCAAAGGATGGTTGATTGAGTTGCAATTATAAAAAAATGAAAAAGTAAGACCATTAGTCTGACTGGAGACCATTGTGTTAGACGTTGCACCACCACAGAGCCATCGTGCCCTAAGCAGGTATTCATCTCAAGAATGTGAGGAGTGCTGTGCCTTCTACCATAGCAATTTTTAAAAAGAAAAAATTATTAGAATGGGAGAGAAAAAATCTCAATGTAGGCTAAATCCCAAGAAATGCTGAGCAACGTCAGTCCATTTCAGCTGACTCTGGGGGGACTCTTTGTCAGGACGTGGAGTGACAGGACAAGGGGTAATGGTTTTAAGTTGGAAGAGGGGTGACTTAGATGAGATACCAGAAAGAAATTCTTTGCTGTGAGGGTGGTGAGACACTGGAACAGGTTGCCCAGAGAAGCTGTGGCTGCCCCATCCCTGGAGGGGTTCAAGGCCAGGCTGGATGGGGCTTGGAGCAACCTGGTCTGGTGGGAGGTGTCCCTGCCCAGGGCAGGGGGTTGGAACATGGATGGTCTTTATGGTCCCTTCCAACTCCAACCTTTCTGTGATTCCATGATACTTGTGTTGTGTCCTCCACTGCCGAGACGCTCCAGTGAGACCCTATGTTTAAATGAACTGGAGAAACAGTTTCTTTCTAAAAGTTGATGACAAAGGGCTTTATTTTCTTTGTGGTTTGATTGAGTATTTGCTTGAACAAGATCCAACTGGTTTCACTGGAAGTTTTGCCTGAGAAAAGATTTCTGGATTAAATAAAAATGCCAAACAAAGAAAAAAAAGAATAAACTGATGCTTTGGGGCAAAAGGAAGTCACTAGCTTCTCGAGAATAGAAATGCCTGAGAGTTTGCATTATGTCAGTAGGAGGTTTGTTTTCTTCGTGTTTGCTTCTTTGAAGACTGGAATTTGGTCCTGTGCAAGGTTAATTCCGATTAATAGGTTCATTAGCAACACTGATCGCAAAGAAGATAATTTCCTGTGATTAAGCTTCTTAATCATTTATATGATGACTGTATTATTATAGCTTTCATTATTTAAAATACGGAGAGAAATATTGTAAGGCTAATTTAGCTAGATTAAATGCGGTCTTCAAGGAAAGCTGTGCAGTCACTTTGCATTTACTTTCTGCCATGACTTTTCTGCTGTTACCAGTGAATGTCACACTTCTGAGAAGGTGGCTGGAAGTGTCAGAGCTCTCTCGTGTGAAGTACAGAAAGAAGAAATGTGCTAAGCTCCCTGAGATGTACCAGCCACTTCTCTGAAGGTTCATGGGTTAGGAGCAGTATAATGCCTTTGCTGAAAGCCCTTGAAGCTCTTCTGTTGGCCAGTGTATTTAGAAAGTGTTATCATGAGGTTTGCACGATGTGCCTCCCAGCTATATGTTGCATCAAGTAATTTTTTTCGAGCTTTAATATTTCACATATTTCATATGGTTGCACACTCTTTATTTATAAGTGTTCTCATGGAACAAATGACCAGAAGATCTGACTATTTCTCAAAACATTCAGGCATTTAATCCTCATCACACCTCTCTGAGGAATCTTGTTAGTTATTTTTGTGTGGCTTTCGGACCAGACACTAGGTAATGTCAGTTGTCAGTTTATGGAAGTCAGAGTATAAATCACAACTGAAAATAGTACTAGGTCTGCTGAGGGTCATTTTGACAGTAGTAGTTACCATGAAGTACTTGGCAGAATGTAGATATCTAATATGTTTTTTTTTCCACCCATTTTTGAAGTCCTAGTGACTGACTTCAAAACAAGAGTTCTAGCCACTAAATTTTATGGGGTTTGTTTAATATTTCTACAAACCGGCCTCTTCTTCTGCCCTCCCCAATTCAAGCTAACTTACCCAGATATATACATACTTTATATAGACTTTTATACTTTTATAGAGACTTTATAAACCAGAGTTACTAATTATTCAATTTAAAAAGTAGCCCGTCTTTCAGCCATTTTTGAATAATTAATTTCTCTACTCCTTTTCATTTATTAATAGAACTGTTTTCTTCCTGAATCCTCTGCTGCCCCTTACTTACACAAGTGAGAATCTCTTTCATTTTCCCCTGTAGCATTTCCAGCTAAAAAAATTCTTTGTGCCTCTTTTCCACTGTCTTTAGTATTTTGCCTGGGAGCCTCAAGTGACAGAAATGTTTTGGCTTATCTGTTCAGCTTAGTCATTTTTTTCAAATCTCAGATCTTTAAAGACCTCCTAGTGCAACTACACCAGCCAGTTCTCTCTTTCTTACGTCCTTTTTTGAAAAGGAAAATGGGGTATCAGATCATTAAAGTGGTTCTTTCTGCTCTCAGAAATCTACAGATCTATAGATACACCCCTTTAATGATCTGATTTAACCTCTTGCCTATATGACCAGTTGCAAAAGCTCATTTGGTAGGTGATCAAGCCAGCAAGCTGTTGTACATTCTGTAGTATCTTTCTCAATTCCCCTGCATTATTTTGCTGGTTTGGACTTCCTGTCGCTACATGTTACTGTCTCATTTCGAAAATTCCTTAATATTTGCTTCTTGAAATCTAATACCAGATGCAAGACTTCTGTGAATCTGTGTTCACTTTCCTTATGATAAATTTTAGTATGGTGTATTACTGCATGAATCAGGTTGGCATTTGCAAGCCGATGCGATATTGCTGTGCTCTTACTGTTGAAGGGTTATTACTCTACTAGTAGCTAAAATAATTTCTTTTGCTTTAAAAGCACATAGCTGAGAGGCAGTACACATGTGCCTTCTCCTGAGCAAGAGTTTTGTTGTTCCTTCCTTTGAAGCCACCACTATGCCTTCGGTAGCTCACCTCAGTATGTGAACTGCTACCCTCTAAGATAGGTCATACTTGTTCTGGGCAAGCTCTGCAAAGTTCCCTCTGCAAAAGAAACACTGACATATTTTTTCAGTGGTGCCCAGTGACAGGACAACAGATGACAAGCACAAACTTGAATATAAGAAGTTCCATCTCGCCACAAGGAGGAACTTCTTCACTTTGAGGGTGGCAGAGCCCTGGCAGAGGCTGCCCAGAGAGGTGGTGGAGTTTCCTTCTCTGGAGACTTCAAACCCACCTGGCCACGTTCCTGTGCAACCTGCTCTGGGTGGCCCTGC